TCTCTGGTTTTCATTTTTAATAAATGTCCTTTGATTATGATTTGAATGTAAAATTGTCGGCAAAAGAATGACATTTCGATGTCATGTGACTGTTTGCTATAGACAGGTAGTCCAGACCGTTTGGAGCCTGGGAGTAGGCTGTTGCTAGGGTATCGGCGTGCGTGGTGATTCAAAAAATATCAACGCGCAATAAATAGGCCTTTCTAATTGAATATAGAGTTATCCGGAATGTGAACGTACGATTCAATTTAATGACAGTTTCGAGCTGTTTTACACTTGCTACGTATTTAGACTTGTTGATTTAATAATCAACAAACGAGAGTGTAAATTGTGACGATAGGATTTACCTTAATGAAAATCGATTACAAAATGTTGTCATAAAAAAAACAATTAGAAAATAAACCAAATTCGATTTAAAATAATGCGACTGCAAATTTTCTTTTTCCATTTGGTAAATTTAACGATGATAAGAAATTCGATAATTGATTTTCATTTTCTGATTTGAAGATTTCGCAATTAAAATGAAAAATAAATATTATTCTTAGGATTATTTTTATCGTTTTCTATAATCAAATTTTCTTATTTTCTTAACGCATTTTTCTTCTCAAATGTTTGCGAATTATGCTTCATTGCCATACCTTTTTAATGAAATTTAATTAATTTATTTTTTTTAATCTTTAAGACTTCACAAACAGTTTACCTTCACCTTCTATGAAGTTATAAGTAAAAATTATATCCGTGTAGATTATAAATGTTATTGTAATTTATAAAATTTAACCTAAACAAAAATTCTGGCGATTTCTAGGAAAGTTTAAAAACAGTTTTACTTAATTCTTAATTAATCTACTGAAAAAAAGAGAATAGATTAATTTCTATAAAATATTTAAGATTAATAATGCTTTAAAATCACTGCGAAAATTTATTTATCGTATCATAGTTTTCAACTAATATAGATGTAATATTACTTTAATTATCGCTCTATTTGAAACGTTCTTGGATCCACCAGTATTAACGGATTTATTACGGAAATTACTAGACAAAAATCTCATTTAGTCAATTTACCAATTAATTTTTCAAGTTTTATGCATCTATTAGCATTTAATGAATAATCCATTATCATTTACTTGAATAATGCATTATTCAATAAGAACGATGAGATAACTATTTGACATTTGCATCTGCGTAGTTTCGGATAAGATTCTAAACAGAATTCCAATTTCAAATAATAAGGTAATGAAAAATTACAGTTACAAGAAATCCCATGCGTGTTGTCGCTGGCTTTTTAGTACACGCGAATAGATTACAGTAGACGCAATATTTCGTATTGAATTTCATCAAATCGTACAAAATCAAAGAAATAATTTTATGAAAGACATTTAATGTTCGCCCAAGAAAGCAAACGACTCTTTCATGAATGTTAATTACTTTCTAATTCAAAGACTGGATTTGAATCGTGGATTATTACGGGTAAAATCTTTTGTGACGTTTAATCTCTGCACATTAGAGAGAATAAATACTTGACTTGTGTTAAAATACTTAAATCTAAAAAATTGAAATAAAGTTTTCGAAAAAAATTTCCGCGATAAATTTTTAATATTGATACCGTTAAACTTCTTCGAAAGTTCGATTTGTTTGGGAATTATACACCAATTAGTAAATGTTATTACAATTGAATATCATAATATACTCGTATTTTCTTGATTTCGTGATATTCATGATAAACTTTTCTCCGTTGCAAAACGATAATTAAATAAAAAGAAAAGATCTTAATCCTAAATTAATTTACTATACAATAAAACTTGCTGACACTTGTGACAACTTATTGCAAAGCGATATTAACAAACTTAATACTTCATTTAAGAAATTTAATTTACAAATTAATACTAGTAAAACCAAAATCATGATTTATAGCCTGGTTATAGCTCCATTGTTACAGAAGTCTTTATATTAATAATCACATCTCAGATATAAGTTTGATGATACTGTTCTAGATCTTAGCGTTGTATTTCATTCAAAACTTTCTTTTAAACATCATATTGAACAATTAACTAAAAAGATCTCAATTCGTAGGGAAGAAATTTCAAACTAATATCAAGTACACTTTGAGCTTTATTTTTTTACTAATATACAAACCTTAATAGATTATGCTTTACCCGTATGGGCATCAGCCCCTGTTTCCACTCTGCATAAATTTCATTCTGAGTTGGCCAAAATCTATCTCCTTTTAAATAAGCTTGCAAATCTCCCATCTACTGATTCTCTCGAGGTTGCTCGTGTGCGCTCTGGTTTTCCTTGTTTTTATAAACGAATTGATTATTTTCACAAAAAATATTCATACAAGAATTTTAATGGTGTCTTCCCTTCTAATTTTTTTCTTTTACGAGTCCCTTCTTTTAATTTTGGAGATTCTGCTTGTTTGTATTGTATTGTCCATTTGTCCGCCTCAACGTTTCACTTAAATCGTTTTTCTACATGTATCAAAAGACTGTTGTAACCATTGAAGATCTATTCGTTCTCGATTCCATTTGTAAAAAACTTCTCTATGATTGTATCCCGCATTAAAAGACAAAATTACAGTATTTTATCTTTTCTAATTTTTATATGTTCATTGTTTTTATTATTTTTATTTTTAGTCCTTTTTTTCCTTTTTTTAACTTTATGGGTTTGTTTGTTATTTGTTTTTTGGGGTCAGCTGTCGTTGTCGCTATAACATGGTTTTATTTTCTTGAACAATGAAGAATAAAGAATTTTCTCGAACTCTTTGCAAGTTGTATGGAATCGAATTATTGAAATTAAATAAACCGAAGTATACTTTTGTTATGTGTATCGAAAACGTGCTTGTGGTTGTTTCCATACATTTAGGAACGAAAACGTGACTGGTTTCTACAGTATATTCTATTTTAAAAGATAATCAATTTTTTATGTATTCATTTCCATACAAATCTTAAGCCAGGCAAATTGCTATTTTACAACTGAGCTAAATTATATATTTAGCACAGTACCGTCTCGGTATTGCGGCAGTTTGTTAATCCGACACTAGTCGATTCTCGGGTATTATCGACACTTGCCAAATCAAAGACAGGTTTCTCCATTAAACTTGAATGCTTTTTCACAAAACGTAAGATGACGTCCAGCCCGGGCTTGCTCACGAAATTAAAGACCATTAGACTCGTCACCTTGAGTTACTAAAAATATACAGTAGCTTATAACACAAGACTGATAAATATTGATATTAAAATCAATCCGCCGAAATTTCCCACCAGAAATACCGTACTTTCACTGTATTTAGTGGGAATCTACCAACTTGGCAACATACGATGTAACTTAGCCTATATATACTATGTTTTTGATTAATACGATGTACTAATATCACGCAAAGAAACGAATATTTTCTTTCTAAACGATTAAACCATCGAATTCATCTTACTTCCAATAATAATACGGTAATCTCCTTAATCTGAAACTTTTTCTTTCCCACACACGTGGGGTTACCGAGATTGTACTGCATAAATTAGTAAAACTTTTAATGTCTCTGCTAATAATGTATAATATAATGTTTCTTGTTAAAAATAAATACGGTATAATTTGATCATATTTATGCTTGTATTTCTGTAATTGCGCATTACTCATATTTAGTTGGGCTACAGATTATAGAATTGGGGGGAAATAGAAATAGTGTATAGAAAGCGATAAATTAAAAGCGCACAAAACACAATAAACAAAAATTTCAAATATAGAAGCATTCTTACATTCCAAAAGGCTTCTAAAAGATTTTGCTGCTAGAGCAGAAGATAAAAAGTTGTTTTTAGAGTTTAAAACACAGGCCACAATAAGTTTCTTTGTGTAAGCTATTCCGCGGATAATAAAATCAACTTATTGTACTAGCTACTACAATCGAATCTCGATATAGAGTCGAGCGCTAACGTAAATATTAAATGGCGAATCCTTAGTTATCTGCCAATTGCTAAATTTAAATGACAATATCACTTCTTACTCTCAGTTTCAAACTTTGCTTCTAAACTTCGTTATTATATACAATTCTTATCTTTCGATATGCTTCCGTTTAGCGCTACACTCGATATAGTCTCGATTTCAGGGGCGAATTCAAAGTTTGACTGTATTCGAATCTTAAATAATTAGTATTTGACAAACTTTTTAAGACTAAATAAATTATAAATATGCAACTTTCTCAGTAAATTCATATTTAAACACTTTATTTCTAAGAATTAAGAAGAAATATATTTACTAAACGAAGCTGTTTTGCGCCGTCATTTCACGTAAATGAAAGTTTTGCTTACGAAGATGTAATGAATAAGGGAAAGAAAAATTCAGATCAGACATTTAAGTGTATAGAATATTTACAAATCTTTACAACAAAACTTAACAATTTTATACTTATGCCTTCTCCCCCATCCTAACTTTAATGGCTTTTGCAGCTCCGATCTTAATGTGTTTTCATTAATAGAGTTCCTCTTTTATTACGAAAGTTATTTTTTACAGCTTCCTAAATAAAGATAATTATTATTTTTTCTCTTCTCCTGCGTTTCGGTTATTGTTTTTAATTACAGGAAACACTAGGAGTAATTTAAGTAAATATTTTGGTTACGATACGATAAAATGTAGAACGCAAATACTTTACATCTTAAATGAAGATTTACATTTTTCTAAATCTTTGTGAATAGAGAGGATGTTAAATTTCTGTTAAAGTACAATATGTTTTACTTTTACTAGAAACTCCTTAAGTTTTTTATTATAAACGATAGACGTTTTGTTACGAAACTAAGAGACGGGACTCGGACGGAAGTGATAGTGTGACCGCTGCTGGCGTCACAAATTTATGTTTCTATAGCAACAGACTTGGTCTGGCAGTCCGGGTGGCGACACGGTCGCGTGGACTCGGGTGGGGTTAACGGAATCACGTGTATCCGAAACATAAATGGGTTGGTTAGAGATGGTCACACCCCGCAGTTGACTGAATCCAACTTTGTTCTCCTTTTTAGGTCCTAGAAGGGTTACCGAAAATGAAAACTGCTTGTTGCGTGCTGTGGCCGCTCACATTCTTTTCCTTGATCGCAATAGGTATGTATGCGATTATTGTTTTATTAACGAATAACTTTCAAAAAACTTTAATTTTTTAATATATTTTTCTATGGATATCTGTAAATCGTATAAATAAAAAATGTGCTAAAAACCAATTTAGTAAATGAGAGAGATTTAAAAAATTTAAATTAAATACTGTGCATTAATTAAAATAATCAGCTTTAACGACAATGCGAATATAAAGATACGAGATCATTTTTATGGAAATCTTGCAATTAATAATAAAGTGGAGATTTTTAATATTGTAGCTATGTATAAGTATTAAAAATAATCGATATAAAAATTTTTATAATACAGCGATTACGCTAATGTAAATGAAATTTGATTGTTTTCCAAGTTTATTGGCTTCGACATAAACGATAATATATTCACAGCTAACAAAGATACAATATATTGAAAATAGTTAATTTGACGTGGTACGTAATGACGAAAATACAGTTTAAACCAGGGCCGTTGCACGATGCCCGAAGCAGAGAATTCTTGTTAATTAAAATTTAATCGATACGAAAAATCGTCTCTTCGGCACGGCAATAATACTAGAGAGGAGTGCGCCATGCGGAATACCCAATTAGACTACATTCATCGACGTTGCTCTTTGCTAAAAAGGTCGCGTGCCGGCACCAAATGTTTGATTTGGGTTAAAGTATTTTCTCTTCGTTCAAACCGCACTTGAAAATTCATTCGTCTAAATATAATATTGCCAAGTTATAAACTATATTTAATTGTATAGCGTGTTATCATTTTTGTTAATACATTAATCGTATTTAGAATTTTTAAATCGGAATTGATCGGATATTCGTTGGGGGAAAGGATTCCACACCGATCGCTTTCTGTACTGTTATAATCGGATTTTGTCGTTTCCATTGAAAAACAGTTGAGTAGATTAATTAACGACCGAGAAAATATCTTACGGAGGAGGTTGGCTACTGCAAAGAAAGTGGTCATCGCTATTCAGGTAACCCAAATTTTAAAATTATTTGTAAAAAGACCCAATTCCACAAAATATCTTTTGGAAGTTTTAGTCCGTCGAATACTTTCGAAAAGTATTGTAGAGTTTTCCAACGAACTTTGACATTTTATCTAAAGACGAGAGAAAATGAAAATAAAAAACAGAGCTGAAAATGAAGACTACATGACATTTATTCTTCGAACTGTTTTTAAACTAATTTCTCTTTGTCCGAGGAAAAAGCCCAATTAGTAACTTTTTGAAATGGGAAATTCGTGTTATTGACGTTAAACGAAACTTATGAAAATTTTTATTGAAGCCCTAAACCACTATAAATTCGACGGGTATTTCCATCTTCTCTTAATTAATTCGGTAACACCGTGCCTGAATTCGTACAGTACAAGAAAATGTTTTTCCCACTCGGCACCGACTTCGAAAACATTTTAATATTGCATTAAGTAAAGTTAATAACGTAGTCGAGGAGATCGTTCGATTCTACTACTTTAATGGTATATTTATATAAATTTACGTACATAAATTTATTTAGATTTATGTATAAAATTTACTATTTTTATTTTGATGTAGTAAAATTGAATTAAAAATAGTTTCGGCAGAAAATAAATTCGATTCTACATATTGTCACGGTGTTACAACGCAATTAATATAATTTAAAAGAACATACAAATATAATTTAGTAAAACAATTGGAATTTTTTAGAATTAATTGTATAAAATTAGCGTACAGATTGATATTTTATTACTTCGGATATTAAATGTTATGGAAAAATATTTCGTATTTTAAGTTACAGTCGATTGAATTTGCATCGTATTCAACAAATATGCTTGACCATTAAAATTAAGATTTCTTGCCGCTCGGCACATATTGAGCGACTACTTTTTAACTTCTTATTTTAATGTCGTGATATACAATATAAATTTTGCCGTATAAATTATAAAGAATCGTCGATATGTCACTTAACTACGTTTATATTAAACCGCACGTTTAATTACATTTTAAAACCCGGTAACACTTATAAGACAATGAAGTTTTTTGACTCTTTTGCAAGATGTTTGTTTTTTGAATTAACCGTCAAGGTATTCAAGGTTTTTAATATTTATCATTGGATAGAACTTTTTAAAAACTCGAGATTCCATTTAAAATTTAATTATTTCTATTTTGCAAGCAATTGGAGACAATTCCTTTTAAATATTAGTTTCGTACTAAACGAGAAAAAGCTGCGATGGACCGTCGACACTAAATTCAATTGATGACAAGAAAGCGACGGTACACTTTTTACATAATTTATTATTTGTAATTTCTAGGCCGGGTCAAAGAAATATTCGGTCGACTTCTCTCACTAATATTATAAGAAAAGTGATTTCTACGGTTAAACGTCGATTTTTGTTTTACGTTACCAAATAAAAAGAAATTAACGATAATTGCGTAATTGAAGTAATTACCGGTCGAATCCCGGTTAAGAGAACTCCATTAAATAAACAAATAATTATTCCGTATGGCGTATCCTGAGACCGTACCAAAGGATGGGTGGGAAAGTGAAAGAAGGTAAGTATTTCGACGACCAAAGAAGATATGGTTTTTTTTAATTATTACTATTCGTAGTTACTATAGTAACGGCGTAGAAACGTAAGGTCGGTTACCTTAGCAACTACGGCGGGCCCGCTAGCTCTCTGCCGTCGGCCGGAGATGTAATTCTTGCGTGTATTTTTACAGGTTACGCCGTGCAGTGTTACATCTGCAGTTGGTCTCCGGACGATAAAAACAATCGAACTAATTATTGTACGGACGAAAATTTTCAAAACGCCAATCTTTACTTCGATCGTTGTAAGGTGGGATGCGAGGTTCACGTCCAATGGGATCCCAACGGTAAGTTTCTACCTTCCTCCGTCTTTCTCTCTCTCTAGTTAACTGGAAATCTCTGGCAGTTAATCATTTCTATCGATTTGGTCGTTACGCGTCGCAAGTCGAAATCTAACCTATAAATAATTTATCGTTTATAAAAAGTTTCCGTCTCTAATAATGCTTAAATATTACTCCACGTGTTGAATGAGTGTGTAATAATTTATTGTTTTTATAAATTGAGAACTATTGCAAGGAAAAAATGGGGAATGAGCTATGAGATTATTGAAATTATTTATAGAGGATTAATGATACTAATATTGGTATATGGTATAAACGTAGGATGAAACTAAATCTATACATATATAAATGGACGTGTGTGTCCCTATATTTCACTTTTCCGCAAAAACTACACATCGCACATGAATGCGGTTTGGATGTGGTGGTAGCTCCAAGTCTCCATTCGTGCACTATGGTGGTTGCGTCTCGATAGCTATAAGGGTGCGGGAGATATGGGGCTGAAAGTGGTTTTCTATTTCGAATGTTATGTTCGAATTTAATTCGAACAATATTCGAATTCGAATTGGTTCGATTATAGAACGATCGGAAACGTTCCAGAAAATTGGTCAAATGGGAAAATAGTTCGTTTGACTAGACGTAAAAATTCTCTAATTAGTCTGGAAACGGGGGACCTAATTCTTGCATTCTGTGAAAACGGGTAAGATTGACTATAATGTAATTATCTTAATCTTCACTATCGTTACTTTTTGCCCACAAATAAAAACCCAGCGAAGCGGGTCCTTGCAGCTAGTATATATATATATATATATAAGTCAAATAAGAAAATGCAGGCAGTGTGGCTGAGCAGATGGGATATGAAAGTTAAGGGTGGAATAACGTCAATATTTCTCCCTACAGTGGAAGAAAGCGTAAGTAAAAATTGGATAGATTTGAATTATTATACTACATAATTATCGAGTGGACACGAAAATTTCCGGAAAAAATTGTATCGGTTTTCTTGATCGAAAGTGACGTATGCGATGATGGAAAGATGGATAGTTTGGAGCATTTTTTGTTCGAATGTGATTATTTGAGAGATGAAAGTGATATTTTACATATAACGAACACCAATAAAGATGAGAATTGGTCTTTTCGATAACGAAATAGCGCGAATAAAATTACTTTTAAAATTTATTAAAATAACTGAAGCCGTTAAAAATATGTTTGAAATTAGATATTTGATACGTTGTGGCTAATTTTATCCGGTTGATTATAACTGAATGCTTATTTGTTTTGATGTATGTTTAGTCCCATTTATAATTTGTTCTTTTTTGTTTTTTAAAGGGATTTCTAATCAGCTATTTTAGTATATACAATATTTGTTTATGTGATCTTTATCGTTAATTATACATATAGTCTATATTTTGTTTATTGTATTTGTTAATAATTGATGTTTAAATTGTGAGTTTGTAAAATGCTGTTTTATAACAATAAGGAGAATTGTCTTGGAGGTATTCGTTTGGCAGGTATGGCAAGGGGAGTGTGGTGGTCCTTCTGGGACGGTACTATATCTAATAAATGAAATCGTTTTTATTTTCTCGGATACCGTACCTTTCTGATAGTTAACGCCGTCTTTTAATAGTCGACGTTGTATCGAGAAAACATATATTGTTATTTGTTCTCTAAGTAATTTCAAACTTTATCTCTACTTCGAAATCATATTTTAATATTTATTTTTAAATTGATTCCATTGTATAATTTTATTAAGATATGAAGACAAAGATTAAATTTAATATTTATATTTCCGAAGTAAAATATAATTTTTTGAAATCGTTCAACGTGATTCTGAGATATAATTTTAAATTAATTCGAGAAATTCCGTAAAAACTTTTCCTTCCGATTGTGGATATTTTGCATATTCTACGAAATTGTATTTTTAAAAATGAAGTTGGCATTGTATGAAATTTTAACCAACGCGTTTAAGTTATTTTTTTAAATGCAATTAATACATAAAAGTATGCTTTATTTTAAAATTTTGCTGAAAAAATTTTTATCCAATTAATTTTTCTAACATAAAAATTAACACTAATTCAATTAAAAGAATAATTTCGTAATGAAATTTAATTCCGTATTTTTTCCGTCTAGCGTTAAAAAATGTCTCGAATATATGGAAGTAAGATAATTAAGTAAAATTAAATTACATACTTAAAAGTTATATCTATAAATGGTAATCGTGGTAATTTATATTTCATTACCTTTCAATGTTGTGAGCCATCGGAACCCTATGCCAATAAAATTTGATGTTTCCTAATCCGTATTCCCAAGTCTAGTGATGTATGAATGTGGCAATGCAAATTTGCTATGTGAGGTGTAATTGTTCTAGTCTTAGACTGACTCCTATACACGTGCTAGAGTTATTTATAGCTTTATAAATGTGGGAACCGATTTATCGGTAGGAATCATGAATATAATGACATGATAATGAAACCATAAAAAGAAACGGCAAAATTTAACCTAAAGCTAGAAAATCATTAAAAAATAACCTTAAAAAGCATCTAGCATACAAATAACAATACAGTCGTTAAATATGCTTTAAGATATATGCAGTGCAAACCTACTGAATCTAATGACAGGATTAATTACTGTCCCATTATTCCCAGTGTGTTCTAACACTACTGTACAGTGTACAAGCGGGCATATCAAATATTACAGTTTTGCACTGCAATCCTTTTGTGATTTTTAAATATTTTTCATATAAAAATATAGTGAAAATCGTATACATTTGTAGCTCTTTTAGTATTGTGTATATCCCAGATTAAATAAATTATGGAGCGTTTGCTGAGTGAAGAGTTTTGAAGAAAAATGTAGCAAGTACTTCAAATGTTTGTAATGGCAAAGAGACCGAAAAGACAAATACAAACGAAAGTACAAATCCAGGCACTAGAGCTGTTTAAAGTATTGAAAGAAAAGAAGCTTAATCTTTCACATTAATAACCAGTTTGAATCTAATATATAATTGAGACGGGTTAATGATGATAATAATAATAATAATAAGCGCAGAGCCCAAACGGTTAGGAGTTGAAAGTTGAAATTTGGTACACAGATAGGGAGGGTACGTCATGAAAACGCACACTAAGAAGGGATTTTTCGAAATTCTCCCCCGGGGGGAGAGAGACAGGATTAAAACTTCTATATACATTATGGATACGAGCCCAAACGGTTAGGAGTTGAAAGTTGAAATTTGGTACACAGTTAGGGTACGTTAGGAGAACGCACACTAAGAAGGGATTTTTCGAAATTCCTCCCCACGGGGGAGAGGGACAGGATTAAGGCTTAACACTTCCATCAACAATGGAAGTGTTAAGTAACAATGGAAGTGCTAAGTAACAATGGAAGTGTTAAGTAACAATGGAAGTTTTAAGTAACAATAAAAGTTTTAAGTAACAATGGAAGTGTCAACAATGGAAATGTTACGTAACAATGGAATTGTTAAGAGAAAGCGACGTGCAATACGCAGATGCAGTTTTTTTCGTTTTTGCGGGAAATCGAACATATTTTTAGATGAATCTAAAAATTCTCTAATTAGTCTGGAAACAAGGGGACCCAATTCTTGCATTCTGTGAAAACGGGTAAGGTTGACTGTAACGTAATAATCTTTATCTTAGTTATCGTTACTTTTGCCCGAGCAACGCCGGGCCCACCTGCTAGTTAATTAATATTTGCTTTATATTATTAATGTGTTTTTGCATTGTCAATAAATAGTTTTGCTGTATAATCATTAAAACTGTCAGGGTTAAACATCTTTTTACTGAGGTGAAAGGGGTTCCGCGATAAAAATAAGTTGGGAACCGCTGCTCTGAATAATAAGAGTAAGTATTTAGCTATTCAATTTAATTTGAATGAAATATGGATAAAGGAATCGTAAACGTTCAGAGTTTTTTAAACTTAAATTAAAACGCGACAATTTGCAAAGTTTATTGTCGAGAAATGTTTAATATTTTAGAAAACGTTCAATTTGTTTAAAAGCAAAGAAAATGGGGTCATTCGTACAATTTGTAAATGTATTCCGTGCAATTAAACAAAATAAATCTACGTAAATTATTGGAACCGGCTTCTGGATTTTTTCAAAATAAAAAGATTGTAAAATGTATTTATTTAGAAAAATATAATCTCATTGTTTTCATTTAAAAATTACTTTATAAATAATAATTCTTCTTTTATCAAAGCTGTAATTATCACTCGTAAATGGTAAACATATTTTGGTTTTGCTCGGTTCCTTTGTAAACAAATACACTCTGTCTGAATGTTCTACAATCGTCTCGTTTGACATATTTGCGAAGTAATACAGCCCTTGATAGTCCGACGATTTGTAATGAGACATGCTCAGTAGTCCGACGCACCTCCCGTCAAGGTACCCGTCCCCGTTACGTGTCTGCTTGCACAGAAGCATGTCGCGACGTGAATCTCCCCACCCAATTCTTACACGATGACACACATTTCGTGTGTTTTCCGTGAGCAGTTCTGTTCGAACAGTTGGAGTAGGGAATATTGTAGGCTACTGCTAGCAAAAAAATGCCAAATATGTAATCACTTTCGGTAATCCGGACACTTTGGGTAATCCGACACCCCTTTGGTCCCATACCTGTTGGATTATCAAGGGACAGCTGTAATTCGTTTTACATACGAAGCATATGGACCGATACCGGGTGACTCTGAAAGAATAGGGCAGTTATAATTTCCGCATTTGAACAGGGAAAAAGTTATTAGCAGAATATACTATGTTCACATAACGTGATATTTGGAAACGCGGAAGGAAACGGAATTTAATTGCAAATGTCCAAATGCGTTACGTTGGTATTAATGCACTCTGATGGCTACAGATTTACATGGGCTCTCCGTAGTTGTCGTCTTTCACCATCGGTAACGATGACTCTGAATTGATTGATAATCGTATAATTATGAATTAATTCTTAAAATAGTAAATACAGTATTACAAGTATCATATTACTTGCATGGGCTACGACTTT